GACTTTTTCCGATGAAAATCTATTGAAAACTGGTGAAAAATGCAAAAGTATGAGGTTCCAAGGAAATGCAGATCGGCTTATTCAACAAAGGCCACTTCTACGAAAATTGAAAAATATCTCATTTTGTAGCCCTTCTTTCGAGCTATAAGAATCAACTAAAAATCCATGTTGTTTTTTTCCTTTCTCGAGATATTGAGAAAACATTGAAGAGAAGTACATATAACTGATAACAGAACAATATGATATTTATGCTGACTCCGGATAAGTTTTACTCTATTACTCAGCGAAACTTACACCGTTCGAGCTGAAATTTTTACCGAATATAGACTTTGATATTGGTAGTCGTTTGACATAATTTTCGATTCGAAACATCTTATTTGGGAAAAACCCACATATCCGATTCTTTTGCATGTGAATCACGGATTTATAATACAAAAGTGAATAACAGTATTTGAGGCAAAAGTCCGTCGAAACTCTTGAAAAATAGCTTTATTTTGTCACCAAATGATTCCTCGCAAAATTCTGTATCTAGTTAACCATGAATCAACCAAAACTAACGATGGTCCAAAAATGGCCCTTATGCGTCCCCATTCTTTGATCAACAGTTTGAAATGTTTCATAGTTCTTTGAAAAATAACCAGCTTTAATCCAAGCATACTTCCACATAGGGCTGAACACATTTGACGTTAATTGATTATAAATTAGTGACTGTAGCCTTATTATTCCGTTACGTGATCTCAAATCGTAATTTAATTCATCAAGAGCCACTCTATTATAGCATTTCTTTGCAAAAATTTTCCATTATCTGAATACAAATATATCTAAAGGTTGATGTGTTGATGTACATTTCTGTGGAGTCTGTAATCTTATAGAATCTCTTTGAAAACATTAACTAAACATAGCTTTCTGGAATTTTACAACAAAGGTGTCATGAATAAACGCAATTTTTCTGAAATTTTTCTTTAATATTTCATCGTAGTATACATTCATAATACAGGCAGTTACTTTACCAGAACTGGAGCACTCTATTAATAAATTTTCCAGTTGAAACAAGCTTTTTTTAACATTAACACCGAAACTACCGTTAGGCACCTGTAATACCAATAAACATTTGCCGATGAAATTGCCGTTTGAGTTTAAGGTTGGTTGTATAGTATAACTATGAGAAATTGCGTTTAAAGAATTAACACTACATATGATGTCTTTTTGTCCCATAAAATTCAATGTTCTGTTAGAGGGTGTGGGTGTGGATGTGGAGTGTGAGTGTGAGGTGTGGGTGTGGTTGGTAATTGGAAAAGACCCACACCTACACCCACATCCCCACCCCCACACCTCACACTCACACCCCACACTAACACCCACACCTACACCCGCCCACACCCACACCCATACTCACACCCCACCCTTTATCTCAAAATGCCAAAAAAAATGATCGTTTTTGCTGGCTTTTATTTTCTCCTCCTGTATACATCGAAATAAAGGTACCTACCTAATATAAATGATAACGTCAAATAATAAAATAATACATACTGTTCGTTAATCTAATAAATCGATATATGATCTAAAATATAAAAAAAAATAAAACAATACTTACATAGAACAAGCAGTCGTGACCGGTTCCGTCCTTGCTTAAGGAGCTCATCAGACAGTATGTTCTCCACTATTTCCTAGGGACAAATTGCAGTTTCGTTATTATCTTTGGATAACGATGAATTTAAACCTAACTATGAACGATATCTCAATGTAGGTTTTATTTTTAAAATTAGCAAATTATATAGAAGAG